GGTTGGGATGATTTTGGTTGCAAGTTATAGAATATGTGCCAACAAAGAGTTTAAATAATAGGATTTCTTTTTCTCTCACATAATAATAAGTCCTCAGGTAGATAATTCAGGGTTAGTTTTTTGACAACAATGTCAGGGCTTGGGATCAGTTTCTTCCTTATCTTCTTGACCATGTGGTGCTAAAATGGCAGCTACTGCTCAAAGAGTCATATTTTCCTGTGCAAAACCAAAGCAAGAAAGGCTAGAGGTTTCTCTCACACACATCTTTCTCTCATTTAGCAAAGTGCCCACAGATATCTTTTCGGATCCTGTTGGCCAGAACTTGGTGAGGTGCACAACTCTAAACCATGAATTAACATGGCTGGTTTAGACCAAATATTGTTCATCCTCCAGGGTGTTTTTCCTGAGCACATTGCTTCCCTCTACCTGGGTAAAGTCAGGATTCTATAATCAAGGAAGAAGTGCGGGGCTGGCTGTGGGGTAGGCACCCATAAGAGTGTGCCACAGGTGGCTTCATAAATGTCAGAAGGAGAAGCAGCAGTTAGATGACTCCACTGAGGGTTTTCCTCTATAGAGACATTTCAGAAGTTGAAACTCAGGAAATCCCAAGGAAACACTGAAGACAGCATCATTGTCATTACATTTCGAAGAGTTGGGGGATTATTAGAGTCCCAGCTCCAAATTTCTTCTTTTCTTAATTATTCCAGAATGACTTAAAATATTTGAGCAGAGGCGGAAGAGATGCCTTTTGATCTACTCATTTTTTAAATTCCATATTTTGGTGCTGGAGACCAAGCATTATTATTATCAAAGTTTCGTAGTATATTGCAAAATTAGCCACCATCTAGCAAGTGCCAATTATTAATTAAGTACTATATATACATTATCTCATTTATTCATTCAAGACATCATTCAAAGAAACAAGGGCTTTTGCCTGCCTTCACTCTCTTTCTCCCTTTTCAGAAAACAGGTCAGCCTCTGAAGAGGGAGGTTCAACTCCCCTCTAGGACCCCAGCACGAGAGTTTCTTGCAAGGTCTTCTGGCCCAGCCCAATGTCAGAGAAAGAGGTCTGTGGAGAGAGCACAGGCCCTGTAGTAATCAGACTTGACCTAACGCCTGGCTTCCTGTGAACTCTATGAGCTCTTCATTCCCTTGGTCTCTGGGAAGGAACAAAAGGGGGTGCTGTGGATCTAGGTTTACCTTAACTGCGTCCCAGAACATAGCTTACCCTCTCCTCAGGCTCCTGAGGGAAATGTATGACAGGACAATGACAGGCAGAGTAATATTTGGTTATTAGTTGGCTCCAAACCCAAATTCAGAACAAACTAGAACCTCACTTGGATGCCCTATAGCTGGCACTGGCTCCCCACTTTGGGCTTTTTTGGGCCAGGGCGCTTTCCTTGGGTCAGACTCCTAGAAGAGGAAGGAGGGTACCACAAGAGGGAGGCAGGTGGCCAGGGCTGTTGGAGACAGCCAAGGGCCTTTTTCATTCCAGTCACTGCTAGGAAGTAGGTCTGAAGGAAAACGAACATACCCTTGTGTGTTGACTCTTTAACTTCTCTGGAAGCTTTGCCTCTTGGGAAAGATGGCTCAGTTCCTGCCTTCAAGCTTGAGCAAACCCTTCCTCCTTGAGGGGATGGAGCTTCTTGCCTTTGAATGTGTTTCATCCAGCCAAGGTTGGGAGAGGCAGGGGTGGGAGAGAGTGGTGGAGGCTTGAGCTCCTCCTGGAGCTTTTCTGTTNGGGAGAGGCAGGGGTGGGAGAGAGTGGTGGAGGCTTGAGCTCCTCCTGGAGCTTTTCTGTTCAGTCCCTTAGTCCCTCATTTGAAATTGTTCTCACAGCCTCTGAACCTCAATTTGGCAGTCTCCTTAGACTAACTGACTGTCTTCCTCTGAATCGGGTCTTTCTTCTTTAGGTATAACACTCAGAGCCAGCACTGCCCTGTACCTGTTCCTTCTTTGGCAGTTTCTTTCTGCTTCAGATTTTTGTTTGTTTGTTTGTTTTTGGCTCCTCTGTAATTTCACCTTAAAGCCTATAGATTTGTGTTTCTTTTGGCCTGTTTCCTCATCTATAAAATGGGGACAGTACTACTTGTCTCATTAGTAGTTACTTGTGAGCAGTAGATATACCAGACAAGCAGTGGGTAGCCTGGCAAATGTCTAACAATGAGCTCTCTGGGGATGGGGAGCTGATTTGTAGTATTTACGTTTCCATGGCGTAAATATTCCCACCACAGCCTACAGCCTATTTCTAGCTATCAACATGATATCACTTGGCTCACTAAAATCCTGAAATGTTATCAGCTGTTGCGAGTACGTAAGAGCCAGCTCCAGCACACTGCTGCAAATTGCAAAAAGCTAGCACCAGGTGAGCACTTGAAAAGGTTAGTTCTTTTTCCTAGCAGTCCTCATTCCAAGCTGTCAGTCCTGCAGGAAGTTTCCATCCCCAAGTCTTACCTCTTGAAACATAACTATTTGCAATGCAAAAATCTAGTTGCATTCCCATTATTTCCAGAATTAATTAGCCTGGGTTTTCTTAAACCACAGAGAATTTGCAGGGGAGGGAATTTTTGCCACAATTGCATTCAGCACTGATAATCTAATTTTTTAAAATGTAATATTAGAAACTGTCAACCCCTCATCAGTCTGGCAACACTGTGGCCTTGGTTGCTAGACAGAATCCAGTGTTGTAAAGCAAATTAGAAACACCAAAAAGGAAGAGGGAACATCTGTAGGGAATTACTTATGAGGTAATTTAGGAATCATTTGTTAAGATCACATTGTGCCGCTTATGTAAACAAGAAAGGGTAGAAACAAATTCAGTAGAGAACTGGAATTAAAGAACATTAAAAAGGTATTTGTTTACATATGTGTGTGTGTGTGTGTGTGTGTGTGTGTGTATGTCTGTGTATGTATTTAGCTCTGAGCTTCCCAGTAGCT